CACTGCCTGTGTCTAGAGACATAGACCTACCCTTATACACACACTGCCTGTGTCTAGATACATAGACCTACCCTTATACACACTGCCTGTGTCTAGAGACATAGACCTACCCTTACACACACTGCCTGTGTCTAGATACATAGACTGCCTGTGTCTAGATACATAGACCTACCCTTATACACACTGCCTGTGTCTAGATACATAGACCTACCCTTATACACACACTGCCTGTGTCTAGAGACATAGACCTACCCTTATACACACTGCCTGTGTCTAGATACATAGACCTACCCTTATACACACACTGCCTGTGTCTAGATACATAGACCTACCCTTATACACACTGCCTGTGTCTAGATACATAGACCTACCCTTATACACACTGCCTGTGTCTAGATACATAGACCTACCCTTATACACACTGCCTGTGTCTAGAGACATAGACCTACCCTTATACACACTGCCTGTGTCTAGATACATAGACCTACCCTTATACACACACTGCCTGTGTCTAGAGACATAGACCTACCCTTATACACACTGCCTGTGTCTAGATACATAGACCTACCCTTATACACACTGCCTGTGTCTAGATACATAGACCTACCCTTATACACACTGCCTGTGTCTAGATACATAGACCTACCCTTATACACACTGCCTGTGTCTAGAGACATAGACCTACCCTTATAGACACTGCCTGTGTCTAGAGACATAGACCTACCATTATACACACTGCCTGTGTCTAGAGACATAGACCTACCCTTATACACACTGCCTGTGTCTAGATACATAGACCTACCCTTATACACACTGCCTGTGTCTAGATACATAGACCTACCCTTATACACACTGCCTGTGTTTAGATACATAGACCTACCCTATACACACTGCCTGTGTCTAGATACATAGACCTACCCTTATACACACTGCCTGTGTCTAGATACATAGACCTACCCTTATACACACTGCCTGTGTCTAGATACATAGACCTACCCTTATACACACTGCCTGTGTCTAGATACATAGACCTACCCTTATACACACTGCCTGTGTCTAGATACATAGACCTACCCTTATACACACTGCCTGTGTCTAGAGACATAGACCTACCATTATACACACTGCCTGTGTCTAGATACATAGACCTACCCTTATACACACTGCCTGTGTCTAGATACATAGACCTACCCTTATACACACTGCCTGTGTCTAGATACATAGACCTACCCTTATACACACTGCCTGTGTCTAGATACATAGACCTACCCTTATACACACTGCCTGTGTCTAGAGACAGACCTACCCTTATACACACTGCCTGTGTCTAGATACATAGACCTACCCTTATACACACTGCCTGTGGCTAGATACATAGACCTACCCTTATACACACTGCCTGTGTCTAGAGACATAGACCTACCCTTATACACACTGCCTGTGTCTAAATACATAGACCTACCCTTATACACACTGCCTGTGTCTAGATACATAGACCTACCCTTATACACACTGCCTGTGGCTAGATACATAGACCTACCCTTATACACACTGCCTGTGTCTAGATACATAGACCTACCCTTATACACACTGCCTGTGTCTAGAGACATAGACCTACCCTTATACACACTGCCTGTGGCTAGATACATAGACCTACCCTTATACACACACTGGTATGTACATTCATGCACATATTTGGTGATTCTCCATTTAGTATACTTTTTACTCCAGGAGTATGCTTAGTATGCATCTGGGAAACCGGACCATAATGTAGTCAGAGTGGCTTAGCATGGATCTGGGAAACCGGACCATCTTACAGTCAGTGCCATATCCAAAACAGATACCGTATACACTTCCTAACTGATGGAAAGTGTTTCAGTCTCTGGACCAGTGGGTTTCCTGTTCAGATCCATTAGTCCAGAGAAACTAGTCAGCTGAGACAGCCATGTTGAGACACTAAACAGCTGAGACAGCCATGTTGAGACACTAACCAGCTGAGACAGCCATGTTGAGACACTAAACAGCTGAGACAGCCATGTTGAGACACTAACCAGCTGAGACAGCCATGTTGAGACACTAACCAGCTGAGATACTAACCAGCTGAGACAGCCATGTTGAGACACTAACCAGCTGAGACAGCCATGTTGAGACACTAACCAGCTGAGACAGCCATGTTGAGACACTAACCAGCTGAGATACTAACCAGCTGAGACAGCCATGTTGAGACACTAACCAGCTGAGATACTAACCAGCTGAGACAGCCATGTTGAGACACTAGCCAGCTGAGACACTAACCAGCTGAGACACTAACCAGCTGAGACAGCCATGTTAAGACACTAACCAGCTGAGACAGCCATGTTGAGACACTAACCAGCTGAGATACTAACCAGCTGAGACAGTCATGTTGAGACACTAACCAGCTGAGACAGCCATGTTGAGACACTAACCAGCTGAGACAGCCATGTTGAGACACTAACCAGCTGAGATACTAACCAGCTGAGACAGCCATGTTGAGACACTAACCAGCTGAGACACTAACCAGCTGAGACACTAACCAGCTGAGACATTAACCAGCTGAGACACTAACCAGCTGAGACACTAACCAGCTGAGACATTAACCAGCTGAGACAGCCATGTTGAGACACTAACCAGCTGAGACAGCCATGTTGAGACACTAACCAGCTGAGATACTAACCAGCTGAGACAGCCATGTTGAGACACTAACCAGCTGAGATACTAACCAGCTGAGACAGCCATGTTGAGACACTAGCCAGCTGAGACACTAACCAGCTGAGACACTAACCAGCTGAGACAGCAATGTTGAGACACTAACCAGCTGAGACAGCCATGTTGAGACACTAACCAGCTGAGACACTAACCAGCTGAGACACTAACCAGCTGAGACAGCCATGTTGAGACACTAACCAGCTGAGACACTAACCAGCTGAGACAGCAATGTTGAGACACTAACCAGCTGAGACAGCCATGTTGAGACACTAACCAGCTGAGACAGCCATGTTGAGACACTAACCAGCTGACACAGCCATGTTGAGACACTAACCAGCTGACACAGCCATGTTGAGATACTAGTCACTGACCATCACTCAGATGGAGCTAGCTGGCTTTGGTCCTATGGACCCGGGTCCTGAGACCCTCAGGTCTGTCTGTGTAGGTCTGACCAGGAGAGGTGGCTTTGTGGCTAAAGGGGTCTGCATGGTTAAGACTGACCACCCATGGGCTGAACATTAACCCCTTGGTGACCCTGGCTGTGAGATAAGGACTGACAGTGTGCCTGGCAAACATCCAGGTCTTAGAAAAACACCACAAAGAGACCAGGACAGAGTCCGTTGGATATAGCTCCATTACGACCTGGCTTTAAAACAGCACAGAGAACCATTACTGGGGCTTCCTAACCAAGGGGTCAGGGGTTAGCACTCACCATAGGAACGCTCTCTCAGGGCAGTGAGGCCATCTAGATCTGCTCTGAGACCTGGAGTTCAACTATAAATCAAATCAAAATACTTTACAGACATAAAGAAGTAAAGTCCCAAAACCATCCCTTGCTGAGTTAGACAGATAGAAGAGGTAGTGAGAAATGGTTCCTCATTAGAAAGCGGTGTTGTTATTGGCATAGAGAATGGAAATCAGATGGTGAATTTGAACAATGTGAGTTCTGAGCTGTATCATATAACGTTAGTATAAACAGCTATCTGGAGTGGTATGCGGAGTGCAAGCAACGCCTCTCTGTCCTCTCAGCCAAACTACAGGAGACTCTCGTCAAGCGTAAGGAGACAATCTAACATCATCAGCTAAATCAACTGAGAGTAGCGACAGAATGAACAGATTCAGCAGAATGCTGACAGAACACTAGAATCCTGGAGCGTTCTATTTTGAAATCACAGATTCACAAGCAAAATAAGTGTAGAAGGTGTTCTATTCAAAAAGACTTGTTTAACAATCCTTTCTCTCTCCAAATAGTCCTACAACAAACATAAATCATCTATCTCCACAGCCAGTACGGCCTTAGCAGAGCCTTCTAACCAGAACTGTAAGAACAATCGAGTAATATCAATTCTAGATGCTGTTGAACTACTTCTAGTTTCAGAATGCTGATGAACAATCTCCAGTAATCCTGGAGCCATTTATTTAGAAATCACAATCAAATTAAACAAACACACACAATCTAAATGATGTATGTTTTGCTTGAAAATAACTTGTTTAGCAAGTTTATATTTTTTAAATATATTCAATCAATAAATAATGTATTTCATCTTTATTTAACAAGGCAAGACCGTTAAGAACAAATTCTTATTGACTATGACGACCTGGGATAACAACCATTTCCTGGTCCTAACCAGAGCTGTAAACGGAGGTCTCTGGTGTTAAGGGGAGGACTGTGTCTCCTCAGGGAGCTCAGTGTTCAGCTCTTTATTACCAGGTGTAAAAAGATCATGGAGGTGGTTCTGGCCTTCAGTTAAAAGCTGTGGAAGTCAAGCTGTCCTTTTCACCTTGGGCTGACTGCCTAATAACGTGTTGTAGTGTTTTCGGTTTCACTATCCTGGTGGGGACCAGGAGTGTATGTATGTTACCTTGATGTAGCAGTGTGTGTGTGTGTGTGTGTGTGTGTGTGTGTGTGTGTGTGTGTGTGTGTTTTTGTGTGCTTCCCCTCACCTTGAGGTAGCAGTGTGTGTGTGTTTGTGTGCTTCCCCTCACCTTGAGGTAGCAGTGTGTGTGTGTTTGTGTGCTTCCCCTCACCTTGAGGTAGCAGTGTGTGTGTGTGTGTGTGCTTCCCCTCACCTTGAGGTAGCAGTGTGTGTGTGTGTGTGTGTGTTCTTGTGTGCTTCCCCTCACCTTGAGGTAGCAGTGTGTGTGTGTGTTTGTGTGCTTCCCCTCACCTTGAGGTAGCAGTGTGTGTGTGTGTGTGTGTGTGTGTGTTCTTGTGTGCTTCCCCTCACCTTGAGGTAGCAGTGTGTGTGTGTTTGTGTGCTTCCCCTCACCTTGAGGTAGCAGTGTGTGTGTGTGTGTGTGCTTCCCCTCACCTTGAGGTAGCAGTGTGTGTAGCAGTGGTGCAGCAGGTTATCGGAGGGCTGGCTGAGAGAGGAGACGGTGCTAGTCAGCTCAGGGGCGTACATGGGGACAGAGTGCTCCACATTAACACTGTCCACCTGCAACCTGAGGGCCGGCAGGGGCCGCACCGCCTGGAAGACTGGCACACTGACCGGACCTGGGGGGGCCTGGAGGGAGAGAGGAGGAGAGTGTTGTGTAGGGTTAGTGGCAGTCACTGGAGTACATGGTAGGAGAGAGGAGAGGGGAGGGGAGCGGAGGAGAGGAGAGGAGAGGAGAGGAGAGGAGAGGAGAGGAGAGGAGAGGAGAGGAGAGGAGAGGAGAGGAGAGGAGAGGAGAGGAGAGGAGAGGAGAGGAGAGGAGAGGAGAGGAGAGGAGAGGAGAGGAGAGGAGAGGAGAGGAGAGGAGAGGAGAGGAGAGGAGAGGAGAGGAGAGGAGAGGAGAGGAGAGGAGAGGAGAGGGAGAGGAGAGGAGAGGAGAGGAGAGGACAGGACAGGACAGGAGAGAACGGAGCATAGCAGAGAAGAAAATAGAATATCAGTCTACCTTCTGTCCCATGATGACAGGCATGAGTGTGTGTAGGAGGTTGAACTCTGCCATGTTGAGGGTGACAGTGACCTTCAGCAGGGTGAGGCAGGTCAGTCTGGTAGGGATAAACTCCTCTAGCATCGCTACCTCCTCCTGGGTGGCTGGGGCTCGGGGCTCCTCCACTGGGTCTGAGAGAGAGAGACAGGGTGAGAGGTCAGCCTGGTGGGGATAAACTCCGCTAGCATCGCTACCTCCTCCTGGGTGGCTGGGGCTCCTCGACAGAGAGAGAGAGAGAGAGAGAGAGAGGGGGGAGGGGGGAGCAGAGAGAGAGAGAGAGAGAGGAGAGAGAGAGGAGAGAGAGAGAGAGAGAGAGAGAGAGAGAGAAAGATAGTGGGGGGAGTAGAGAGAGAGAGAGAGCGAGAGCGAGAGAGAGAAAGAGAGATAGCAAGAGAGAGCGAGAGAGAGGTAACAGGTTGAGACAGGTGACTGGTGAGGATAAACTCCTCCAGGACCACTACCTCTTCCTGGGGTCCTCGACTGGGGCTGTCACGACAGGGGTTAGAGACAGGGGTTAGAGACAGGGGTTAGAGAGGAAAGCCATCCTATGATTGAACGTTATCAATATTGGAGCAGTTGAGTTGTGTGAATGTTGTCAGCGATGACGATCTGGGCTGCTAACAAAGTTCAACAAGGGAATAGCATTTGTGAGCTACAGATTCCTGAGACCCTAGAAGTTGAACAGCATTCAGGCCGAGCAGCAGGAACTTACTGAGTAGATCTGGCCCCCAACCCTGGCCCAGGCTCAGCCCAGTGGAGGTTGTGTTGGTCTGTCTCTATGGTCTGAGGTAGAGGTTGTGTTGGTCTGTCTCTCTGGTCTGAGGTGGGGTAAGGCTCTACATCTGATCTGAGTGGCTGTTTGCTCCCTGGCCAACCGCTACAACCCTATCAGGTTCCCCTGGCTCAGTGTCCAATCACAGCTTGGCTTGGTATCCAACCACATGCCAACAGGCCTCGCTCGCTCAATGTCCTCAGTCAACAGCCGTTAGCTCAAAAGACCAAATGAACACCCACAGCTCTCTCTCTAGAAACCCTAGAAAGCTATTAGAGTCAAATACACTGGATTTTCCGCTTCCATTTAACTGATCCAACTAGGAATGATAAATAAATAATAATACTTCACATGTGTTCTTCAGCAACATACCAAGAAAATAAGAAAGAACACACAAGTACACTGTCAATCATTTGCTGGGAGCATTTGGAATGCTCTGAATTAAACAGGGAAATATCTTCTAAAACACAGAGGGAGCGTTTCTGGTCCAACTTGGCTCCTGGTCCATCTCCACTTGTTGGTTCTTTTGGAGAGAGATTCTCCCTGAGCTCTTGGTGAGGAGAGGAGGAGGAGGAGGAGAGAGATTGTCCCTGAGCTCTTGGTGAGGAGAGGAGGAGGAGGAGGAGGAGAGAGATTGTCCCTGAGCTCTTGGTGAGGAGAGGAGGAGGAGGAGGAGAGAGATTGTCCCTGAGCTCTTGGTGAGGAGAGGAGGAGGAGGAGGAGGAGAGAGATTGTCCCTGAGCTCTTGGTGAGGAGAGGAGGAGGAGGAGGAGGAGAGAGATTGTCCCTGAGCTCTTGGCAAGGAGAGGAGAGGAGGGGAGAGTTGTATCTGCCCCCAACCTCGCTCTCTCCTCGCATGGCAGACACACACAGAAACACACAGCAACCCCTGACCGAACCACCAGAGACTGGAACACCAGCAGACACAGCCAGGCCAGACAGATCACTACCAGGCAGACACACAGCCAGGCCAGACAGATCAGTACCAGACAGACACACAGCTGTCACACAGATCACTACCAGACAGACATACAGCCAGGCAAGACAGATCACTACCAGACAGACACACAGCCAGGCCAGACAGATCACTACCAGACAGACACACAGCTGTCACACAGATCACTACCAGACAGACACAGCCAGGCCAGACAGATCAGTACCAGGCAGACAGACACAGCCAGGCCAGACAGATCACTACCAGACAGACACACAGCCAGGCCAGACAGATCACTACCAGACAGAGAGACACAGCCAGGACAGACAGATCACTACCAGACAGACACACAGCCAGGCTAGACAGATCACTACCAGACAGACACACAGCCAGGCCAGACAGATCAGTACCAGACAGACACACAGCCAGGCCAGACAGATCAGTACCAGACAGACACACAGCCAAGCCAGACAGATCAGTACCAGACAGAGAGACACAGCCAGGCCAGACAGATCACTACCAGACAGACAGACACAGCCAGGCCAGACAGCTCACTACCAGACAGACATACACAGCCAGGCCAGACAGATCAATACCAGACAGACATAGCCAGGCCAGACAGATCACTACCAGACAGACAGACAGAGCCAGGCCAGACAGATCACTACCAGACAGACATACACAGCCAGGCCAGACAGATCACTACCAGACAGACATAGCCAGGCCAGACAGATCACAACCAGACAGACAGACAGAGCCAGGCCAGGTCCAGACAGAGAGAGAGAGATTCTACAGTCCTATTGAACCCTAGAGACAGTTCAACCCTGCTCCCATCTCAACATGACTAACATTGTTTCCCCCTGCTGCATCACTAGTTAACATGCACCTTCTCCCCCTGGACTGACAGGCATTGTAACAGAGAGAATGCAGAGGGAACACACAGGGCAGGAACACACAGACACACAGAGAAAATCGGATCCTTTGAAGACCTCTAATTACTCTATTTATTACAGATGCTGAAATAATTGAAAGCAACGGATGTTATGGTTTCAACAGAACTCTGACTTATTCCTCTGGAAATGACATCCACACATTTAGCTTTCCAAACAACCCACAGATGATGTAACCGCGGGCCGCGCCAAGTTGACGGCTAACAAAGGTGTTTATTTTGACCTTTTGACCTTTAGAAACAGGTCATAGAGGATCACTCCAACTAGCAGAACCCATGGGGACCTCTGAAGGAAGCAACATGATCTTTGGAGGGAAATATCATACATGTTTCATACACATACAGGGTGTTGGGTTGTACCGGAAAACAATGTTAGTGGTGATGAGTTGGAACTGTTGTCTTGAGAGATGGCCACTATGAGGACATTATAATAACAGTGTTGTCTTGAGAGATGGCCACTATGAGGACATTATGATAACAGTGAATGTATTGAGAGATGGCCACTATGAGGACATTATGATAACAGTGTTGTATTGAGAGATGGCCACTATGAGGACATTATAATAACAGTGTTGTATTGAGAGATGGCCACTATGAGGACATTATGATAACAGTGTTGTATTGAGAGATGGCCACTATGAGGACATTATGATAACAGTGTTTTATTGAGAGATGGCCACTATGAGGACATTATGATAACAGTGTTGTATTGAGAGATGGCCACTATGAGGACATTATAATAACAGTGAATGTATTGAGAGATGGCCACTATGAAGACATTATAATAACAGTGTTGTATTGAGAGATGGCCACTATGAGGACATTATAATAACACTGTTGTATTGAGAGATGGCCACTATGAGGACATTATGATAACAGTGTTGTCTTGAGAGATGGCCACTATGAGGACATTATAATAACAGTGTTGTATTGAGAGATGGCCACTATGAGGACATTATAATAACAGTGAATGTATGAACAATTGCCTGTGGTATCACACCTGGATGGGGTTAGACTGTTAGACTGATAAAGTAGCTCTATGATATATTAGCTGTTAGACCATCTTACCTGGCTGTGGTTTGTAGTAGGGTTGGTATTTACCTGGCTGTGGTTTGTAGTAGGGTTGGTATTTACCTGGCTGTGGTTTGTAGTAGGGTTGGTATTTACCTGGCTATGGTTTGTAGTAGGGTTGGTATTTACCTGGCTGTGGTTTGTAGTAGGGTTGTTTTTTACCTGGCTATGGTTTGTAGTAGGGTTGGTATTTACCTGGCTGTGGTTTGTAGTAGGGTTGGTATTTACCTGGCTATGGTTTGTAGTAGGGTTGGTATTTACCTGGCTATGGTTTGTAGTAGGGTTGGTATTTACCTGGCTGTGGTTTGTAGTAGGGTTGTTTTTTACCTGGCTATGGTTTGTAGTAGGGTTGGTATTTACCTGGCTGTGGTTTGTAGTAGGGTTGTTATTTACCTGGCTATGGTTTGTAGTAGGGTTGGTATTTACCTGGCTGTGGTTTGTAGTAGGGTTGTTATTTACCTGGCTATGGTTTGTAGTAGGGTTGTTATTTACCTGGCTATGGTTTGTAGTAGGGTTGGGATTTACCTGGCTGTGGTTTGTAGTAGGGTTGGTATTTACCTGGCTGTGGTTTGCAGTAGGGTTGGTATTTACCTGGCTGTGGTTTGTAGTAGGGTTGGTATTTACCCGGCTGTGGTTTGCAGTAGGGTTGGTATTTACCTGGCTGTGGTTTGTAGTAGGGTTGGTATTTACCTGGCTGTGGTTTTCAGTAGGGTTGGTATTTACCTGGCTGTGGTTTGCAGTAGGGTTGGTACTCATGGTCCATGGCGCAGGCCAGCATCTTGAGAAGGCGGTGCACGGCGCTGCTGTTGAGCCGCAAGTCCAGAGGTCCGACCACCAGCCTCTTGACAGACGTCTCTTGGACCAGGGGGACCGGTTCTTCGTTAGCCACTACCGCCATGGTGAAGTCCTGCTGCCCTACACACACTGGAATAGAGACCAACATATTTTTTTATTTTGGATTATTTGGTAATAAATATACATTATTAGATGATTGTGTGCAACATAAGCATTTCTCTGCACCGCAATAACACCTGCTAAACTGTGTTCACAACTTCTCTGCACCGCAATAACACCTGCTAAACTGTGTTCACAACTTATCTGCACCGCAATAACACCTGCTAAACTGTGTTCACAACTTCTCTGCACCGCAATAACACCTGCTAAACTGTGTTCACAACTTCTCTGCACCGCAATAACACCTGCTAAACTGTGTTCACAACTTCTCTGCACCGCAATAAACACCTGCTAAACTGTGTTCACAACTTCTCTGCACCGCAATAACACCTGCTAAACTGTGTTCACAACTTCTCTGCACCGCAATAACACCTGCTAAACTGTGTTCACAACTTCTCTGCACCGCAATAACACCTGCTAAACTGTGTTCACAACTTCTCTGCACTGCAATAACACCTGCTAAACTGTGTTTGCAACTTCTCTGCACCGCAATAACACCTGCTAAACTGTGTTCACAACTTCTCTGCACCGCAATA